CACCATCACCCCCTTCATTATCACCACTGTCATCGCTTTTACCCATTCCAACATCTTCAATCCCACCCCATTGCCACCCCCACCATGACCAACTTAGCCACAACTTCATCCTAAAAAGTGGGGGTGTGATGGAGGAAAAAGTCACCATACGCATGCATGCAATCAATTTCAGTCTTCTTAATTCCTTGGCATGCATGTGCATGGCTACAAGTATTTCTACTAGTTTCTAGGGGTGCAATATTCGTATTGAAGATGCTATCACATGTGACACAAGGGATTCTACACGATCAACTTGTCTAACCTTGGTTTACATTGTTAGTGAAACAAAATTGAACTTTTTGGAGTTTAATTTATAGCTCTATTGTATCTATATTGGAATGTTAGATCTCTCTCTCTCTCTCTCCCTCTCACACACACACAAATATGCAATATATATGCTTCCTTGTATGTAATTGTACCACTTCCACATTCTACATCAACTATTTTACAAAATTCTAGTTTTAGGAGGTTATAAGCTAAATAACAATTTAGCACTGAAAAGTTGAAGTGGTAATGGATGAAAAAGTCACCATACCCATTCATGCAATCAATATTGATTCTTCTTAATTTCTACCAGTTTCCAGGGGGTGCGATGATTAATACTTAAAAGTAGCATATTATTGTGCCTTTTCAAGACTAATTGTACTTTGGTGGAATTCAAGTAAGGATATTTCAGGTTCTAAAGTGAACAAAGGCTTGAGGGCAACAAAAGTCACGCTTGAATGTCGCACTAGCATATTAGGGAATGAAATTGGAGAGGCTGGGAACAAAGCAAGAACGTTTGAATGTTAGATCACGTTCAAACATCCATTTGAACTATGAAAAAACCAGTCTGCTGAGACAGTGTGTTGTAGTCAAGCATAGGATCCTGAGGTACTTGAGTACCACGTTCGAACGCCAACTAACGTTCGAACGTCCACTTGAGTTGATTGAAGGCAAGACTGATGAGACATGACGTGTTGCAACAAACAAAAGAGGAGCTTCAGAAGCACTTGAGTACCATGTTCGAACGCCATTCAACGTTCGAACGTCCCTTGGAAGCAACTGAAGAACAAACTTCTGCATAGAGTGTGAAAATCAACTTTGACAGAAGACCACTTGAGTGGAAAAGGTCAGGCCCCATCTGACGTTTGAACGCTTAAAAGGCAAGACCAGAAGAAACATTTGAACGTCAGAAAATGTTCGAAACAAAAGAAAACGTTCGAATGTTTTCCACAGATTGCCTGCAGAGTAGTTGGTTTCCATGGGTGACAAACATTATTCACTTATCCCTTCTTATCTCCTACCCCTTCCCCTTCCTTGCCTATAAATACTCCCATGTTGGGAGCTTAAAGAGCATCCTTTTCCTTGTAAATTAGGGAGCTTTTATTCTTAGCAATTTTTCTTCTCTTGTAAATTAGAAAGTTAGTTTGTATACATTGCTTGTTTCATTTTAGTATCAACCATGATGGAGGCTTGGACTCCCCTTGTAGTTGAAGTCTTTCATTTATTTATGTTAAGTCTTTACATTTACGTTATGACAACCATGATGAAGGCTTAGACTCCCTTTGCAGTTGTACTTGCTTTTATTTTCAAGTATCAATAGAAATAACTCATCTTTTGGTTGTGGTGGAAACCCTCCAAAAGTAACTAGCTTTTTTTCTAATTTTATTGTTCATGTATTTCGCTTCCATTGCTTGAGCATCCTTCTTTCTCAGAAGGGTGGAAAGTGATTCACTTATTCTTCATTGAAGATAAACTCTTTGTTTAGTTTGCTTCACTTATTAACTCCTCTACTTGGAGGGATGAGTATCACTCAGTTTTCTAGCTTTGCCAAGGCTATGAAGAATGAGTAGGTCCTCATTTACTCTTTAGTAAGAGGTGATGACTATGTAAAGATTATCTGGAAGTTATGTTTGTGCAACTCCTGTATGCTTTATATTCCACTTGCTCATTGGATGATTGAATGCATCTAGCGAAGTTGAGGTACTTTGTATAACCAAGGGCTCCCTCTATGATACGGATGCCTCCTGCATAGACAGGCCCTTTGGTTCAAGGCAAACACTCCGGCTAGCTTTTCATGACAACCTTTCAATCTCCATTATTATTGCACTTTATTCAAAGGATGGACCATTAATGTCATGGTTGGATGCCTTGTAGAAACACTTGCTTGTTTGTAGACGGGTTAAGTCTCGACACAGACAATTCTTGTAAACTTCTAGAAAGGTATCGAAATCATGTGCTTAATTCTCGCAGTTCATCTTTATCTTCCTATTAACTTGTTGTTGACACGTGAGTTAATTGAGTTATAAAGAACAAACATAACAAACCGGATAGTTAATTACATGTCTTGATCCTCGAACTAAAGGGTGGCTGTTACATTTTGAGAATTTTATATTTTGTCTAGAAGACTCTTGAAAAAAAATCTTCTATTATGTTCAAGAAACCTCATCATTCCAAAATCTCAAAATTTTCAGTTACTTGGTCTCTATTATTGCTTACTTCGAAACACCAATCATAGTTCCCTGTGGATTCGACTCCGGACTTAACCGGATTATTACTACAACTTGACCGCCTGCACTTGGGTGTACACATTTCGGATCAAGTCATGCGATATTAGTATTGAAGATGCTATTACATGCGACACAAAGTATTCTAGATGATTAGCTTGTCTAACCTAGGTTTACATTGTTAGTGGATCAAAATTGAACATTTGGAGTTTAGTTTATAGCTTTATAACGTCTATATTTGGCCTCTCTCTCTCTCTCTCTCACACACACTCTCACACTCACACACAATATGCATGCTTCCTTATATGTAATTTGTACCATGTCCAAATTATATGTCAAGTCATTTTACCATCATTTAGTTTTTGGAGGTTATAATCTAAATAACAATTTAGTACTATTCCTCCATTAAAACATCAACAATGAGTTTCTCAATTCAACATTTCAATTATCCAAATTTTTTAAAGTTATGAAAAGATGCAATGGTGGCAGATGAGGGGATGGGGGAAGGGAGATGATGGTGGTGGTGGTAGTGGTAGTAAAGTTGGCATTGGAGTGGTGGGGTGGTTAAGGTGGTAATGACAAGATGGGGGTGGTGATGCTAGCAACGGTGGTTGGGTGAGGGCATATTCCTTCATTGAATGGATTGTGAGATCAACATTAGAGCTGATATATGAATAATACTAAGATAATGAAGACAAAAATATGGACTCCTTGGCTGGAGACAGAGATGGACCCAATTCACACGTATTGAAAAATATGCATCATTGTCAGTCCAATCCCCAAAAACTGACACTAATAGCTTGACAAAAGTTGATGGTGACCTTAGAAGAACTTTTACGATCGTAGGTGTACTTGATACCCTTGTTGCTTTTGAATTTCCTTTTTTTTTTGGTACACAAAATGGATATGTAAATATGTTACTCCACATATCCGTAAGAGATTATTATCCTTTACCACTACATAGTTATCTGTAGGAGATTCTACCCCCACCTACATCTGGGCAGAAATTAAGGTCTCACCGTGTGCTCTAGGTGCTGAAAAGTAGGTTTAACCCCATCGAGCTATCGTAATTGTGCAGACTCAAATTTAAGCATTGAACGAGAAAATTTGAGTTTTTACCCACTCAACCAACCAGTAAGTGGTGTGTTGCTTTTCTTTTGTGTATGATGGTCTATGAATTTTGGTTTAGAATACCTGTTGTTGATACCAATTAAGTGATGGGTTGAATTGGGATCAATTAGGTATTGATGCATGAGTTTGTAAATGGAGATGGTGGGGTTGTGGTGGCATAAGGGTGGAGATGTGGTTGAGTTTTTTTTAATGGTATGGGAAATTTTTAGATAATGTAAGAGGTGTCAATTGAAATTATGACAATCTATAAAGAGTGAGTGAGTTTTTTTTTTTTTTTTTTTTAAAATGAAGTAGGGAAATTGTCAATAAATCCTATTTTTCTGTACAAAAAAAACATTTAGTCTTATAGTATTTTTATAGTAATGTTCTTGTAACTTAAAAATTTTATATAATTTATTGATCTAATGATGTGATTTGATTGTAACCATTAGATTAACACTAAATTTCAATATATAAAAATACATATAGTCAATCCAAGGACTATAGTGAATTAGGTTAATACGCATTGCTCATATTTTTATTCATACAATCAAGTCCCATTTTTGATAATTTATTCCCACAAAATCCTTAACTCAATAAATGAAATATATTATTTCAATATTATTATTCTTATGAAAATACAATTACATTTTTATCTCTAATTTATTAATTAATTCATTTGTACTTTTTTTTGTCATTTTCAACAAACTGTCAATTAGTACTCCTTATTTTATAACAATTAATATTTTTAATTACTAAAAATTTACATTTTTTCGTATCTTTGCAACTTCTCACCATTAAGAAAATTAAAAGAACAAGGCAACAAGTAGCAATAATTCATAAAAAAATACTCACTTTGAGCTACATATGAAGTTTTTTAGTTTTTACTAAAATTATTTTTATAAGCATGTCGAAGTTCAATTTATCAATTAAGTTTTGATTAGCATCTACTTTATAACCTATGCAATGATTCAATATTTTACTAACTAAAGATGCAAAAAATAAATTTTAATACAATAAAATTGAATTTATTATAATAGTAGAGGTAAAAATATAATTATGTGTTTATTAAAAGAGTAAAATTGAAACTAAACATGCTATTACAAAAGTAGGATTTAATGATATAAATAAAAATGAGCAATGCTATGCATACTAAATTTGTGTACAAAAAAATATGCACCAGATAAGTTTTATCCGTTGGATCAGTGGGACCCACTATCATCTAAGGATTCACAATAATTTAGTGCACATAGAATTATTCAAATAAAAATATGTTAGGAATTACTAATTTTTATAAAAAAAAAAGATTTATTAAAATGTTTTCAAAAATAATAAAGACAAACGTAAACCCTAGGGTTTAAGCTTAAGCGCAGAGAGAGAGAGAGAGAACTTGGAGCATTTGAGTTCAATGGCATCTTCACTCTCAATCTCAAGAAGACTCTATCGCACCCTTCTCACGAACTCAAGAACACAATCCTCCCACCTCTACAAACCCTTCTGCACCAACCTCTCTTCCCCTGAAACCTCTCCCGACTCTGACTCGGACAATTCCCCTCTCAACGCGGACCACCCCGACTCGGACTCGTTTTCTTCTTCATCGCCTTCATCATCAGACTCAACTCGGCAACGTATTATGGCTGAACGACCACTCGAAAATGGCTTAGACGTTGGCATTTACAAGGTTTGTAAGAGTGATATGATCATATGTTTATGGATTTCTTGTGAATTAGTTGACTGATGATTAGGGTTTTGTTTTAGTTGACCTGATTCCTAACCTTACGTACATCAAGTCATATACATATACATATACACCTATAGGCACAAATACATATGGATTTTGGCCTGATTCCTAATGTTACGTACATAAAGTCATATACATATACACCTATAGACACAAATACATATGGGTTGTTTAATTGGAAAATTTTACCTTTTTTTTTGGTCTGTTGTGCATGTATTCATACCTATTCTTTCGTATATCTGTCCAAATTGACTTCTTAGACTCCTAACCATATTATCAAGTGTGAAAGCTTCAGCACTTTTACCACGATTGTCTGTATAAATGTGTTCATGATTATTAGGGTTTTGTACATTTCTATATTCAGGCTGACCATGATTACCACAATTCACTAAACCCTTAACGACCCACGATTTGGATATATTGATTCCAAACGAGGTGGGTTCGTCATCCAGATCACCAAAATAGACGACGCCAAATTATAATATTAATTATAAATCAATTCGTTTTAGAACATATAGCAGAAATATAAAATACATATTAATTGACTAAATGTATATAAATTTATAATTATATATTATTTTAGATAATAGAAAATCAAGTACAATTATCAGATAAATGGTAACAAATATAGTGTTTATGAATGTTCTGTAATATATAATGTTGTGTAATAATGAAAACGATCTACATAAGAGTTCCAAAATGAATTACGACCCAAAACATTGTACCAGCTAAACTTACCTCCATCGTATTGCGTACCTAAAAAAGTGTCGTACCATATACCCGTACCACATTCCAAAGCGATCTCCAATCTAGGTAACATTGAGTTAGACATATGTATACAAAGGTTCATTGACTAGTAGGGTTTTAAATCATCTGCATTTGCAAGGTGCATTGACTACCCCCCCCCCCCTAAAAAAAAACAAAAAAAATGGAAATATGTGTAAATCACTGGATTGATGATAATTGGGGTTTTTTTGGTTTGTGTAAATTATAGGCGATATTGGTGGGGCAAGTTGGGCAGAGTCCGATACAAAAGAGGCTGAAGAGTGGGAGGATGGTCACTTTGCTGTCTGTGGGGACAGGTGGAATTAGAAATAATCGCAGGCCATTAGATAATGAGGAGCCGAGGGATTATGCAAATCGGTGTGCAGTTCAGTGGCACCGAGTCTCTGTTTACCCTGAGAGATTGGGGGATGTTGCCATGAAGCATGTCCTTCCTGGGTGAGTTTTTCCTATTGTTTTGACATGGCTTGCCACTTTTCAAAATGTGATTGAGGGTGCATATACAAACTCAAAATGTGCATACTGCTTGGGGTTGAAAAAAATTGAGAAAACAGGACAAAGAGGAAGAATTTCATGCTTGAGCTGGAAAAAAGTGGTCATTTATTAGCTGAAATTCTATAGTGTTGTACTTGTTTCTGCTGTGAAATCTGGATGATTAATATATAGAAATCACACTTATCTTTGTTCAATTATAGCTGCTACATGTCTTTTTTGCTTTATGCAGCCTATTATATAACCTGGGCCAGCTATATCTACAAGCATTTCCTGTATACTTCATCCGATACTACCTTGTAAATTGTCAAATTTCTTAAGTGTTAGTTTGATTTTACTTTGGGATGGAGTGTATAATTAAGTATTAGTTATTGTGTGACAACTTGTCCTAGATTAACTTATGGAACTGTATGCTTGCTGCTGCTGGTTTCTTATGGCTAGTTTGGTTTGGTTGTCAGCAATCTTGCTGCTCATTTGACACTTTGCCTGGCACTTGACTTTTATCCAAGGTCAGTTCATTCATGATTATGTGTTATTGGTCTTTTCATTGTAGATCAATTTTGTATTTGGAGGGGAATCTTGAGACAAAAATCTTCTCTGATCCAGTAACTGGTCTTGTTCGACGTATAAGAGAGATTGCCATCCGACGAAATGGTACATTTATTACACTGCTGTCTGTATGGTTTTTTAAAATTGTAAAAGAATGCTTAGACAACCTGTTTTTTTCAATAATTTTTTTTCAATTTTTCTTGTGTTTCTTGTGCATGTTCCAGCATATGATCTCTAGGTTCTGTTTGGTTGTCAGGAATCTTGTGCAGGAAAGTTTTTCCTGGAAAAAGTGTATTCGATGGAAGGAAAGGGAAAGACAATATGTAGAAATACTTTTCCTGCACATGTTTGATTCGCAATAAAACTTCTGTAGGAAAGTAAGCTTATAACTTTCCTGCGGTGCAAAATTATGAAGTATATCTAGGCCATGATATTCTTGCAGGGAAGCTAACCAAACTCGCATCCTTAATGTTTTAGGAATATCTTGGTCTCTGAGTCTTAGTACTCCATCTGTGTATCTGACAAATTCATTTCCTTGGTGCTGGTTTGCTTTAGCGTGATGATTGCTGTCCTGCACATGTTATGCTATCGATTTTAGCTCTGATGAAGCTAAAATTTACTTTGGATAGGATTGAGAACCTCCACCTTGCTGATTAATTCTGTCCTTCTAGATTTCTGGCGGCATACCCCGTCCCTCTTAATGAGATGTATTAATTTTGCACTAGAAATCTTAGGAACTTTATTGTTTTTTTTTTTATTTTTAATTTGCTTTGGCATTACCAGTACCTGAAAGAAGTAAGAAGGTGCTAATTTTTTAAGTTTGCTTACATTTGTTAGAACCGGTTTGCGAAGATAAATCTACTCCACTTCATTTACTGTGGTTCCCTTTTCTGTTCATCTGGTGGGACACAAATACCTTCAATGAGTCTTTTATATTACATCAAAAACATGTGGGGCATGCCAAATATCAAGGAAGTACAGTGACAAACAGAAAATGCTTGCATGGTGCAAGATAATCTTCAAAGAATTATATGCCAGCACTAGAAAATGGCACTTGTAGTACTGAAGCATTTCCTTGGAAAGTTCAAGCTCAAGGTCTCATTTGTCTGAGTTAAATCATTTCCAGATAGTAAAGACACGGTTTTATATGGATCTCAACAGTAGTTATGGTTAGGACTTACGTGTATGCACTTTGCAGGCTGGCCCACAACTTTTTTTGTTGATTTTTGGAGATTCTCTACAAAAATGAATAAACAATTTGCTCTGGCAAATACCTGATGAAACTGTTTTAAGCTGTAAATGGCATTTGGTCAAAGTTAACCTGAATGGGGTTGAATTTTCTGCTGGAAAATTATGTCAAGTGACACAATGCAATGGGAGCTTCATAGCATATCCTTTTGCAGCACTTTGTCCCTGACAGAATTATAAAAACCTTTTGTGCTACTGAGATGCAAATCCTTTTTGTTATGCTGTGAGCCTGTGACTAGTTTCTCCATTGTTTAAAGTTTACATATTCCTGCTATTTTGGATTGCAGGTCGGCTTGTGTTTCTAGGAAAAGGTAGTGATACCCAGCAATCATCGCAAAAAGAACTGAAAGGTGTTGGCTATTACTGAAAGTGTATTTGGAGGTGACAGAATCTGAACATTGCACCGATTCTGAGCCTTATTTCACTTCTATAACTATTTTTTGTTTTTGCTTTTGGACACGGTAGTTGGAAGTGGGCAGAAAAAAGATTTATGACTAAAATACTAAGGTAAATCATAGTGTTCTATGCCTCTTTTATCTGGACTTGTTCTTTTATGTATTTCCTCCATTTTTGAAGCAAGCCCATCTGTGGATCCATGTCTGATTATTTGGCAACATGCTGTTGATGTATCTGGCAAGTTTGTTCAGTTGTTGAGCTTCCATCTTGGAGAACAGTAGCCTTGAAACATGTATGACAGTCTGAATCAGTTTCCATGTTTTAAGTTCTGATGTTGGATCTTCATGACGCCAGCTCTCGATGTGTGCAAAGGACAGAATACAGAATATAGAATTAGCAGCTTTTAGTTTTGTTTTTACGGGTTTGAATAACAAAATGGTCTCGTTAAGCAAATGGATTGACATGAAGCCGGTTAACCACAACATGGACTCGGCTAAACACTGTTGATATACAACATGAGCATGAAACAATACGAATTCGGCTAAACATCTATATAATAAAACAGGAGTGTGTTTGAATTTTATTTCAGTCATATTTTTTCTCTCAAAATCATCACTAATCACTTACCTCATCCATCATTCATTTGTCAGATTCAAACATCAAATCACATCATTCATTTATATCATATATTTAATCATTTATATATTTCCTCCTTAAAAATATCACACAACTTATTTCTATCATATATTTAATTAATTTGTAGTTAATTTATTTTGAAAAAATTTAATATAGTGGGAACGATTTTTTGGACGCTTGAATTTTATATTTTATCGTGCCTTCAGGCACGGGTTATAACTAGTGATTATATATGTTGTATATGTGTTGAGTAAATTTTGACATGACTTAAAACACAGTTTGTCCAACACGACACAATCCATTGATAATCATTAGAGAAGGTTTTGCTCTTGACTGTTTTCTCACAAAATTGCAGCCATGACATTCTGAACTTGATATTTGCCAAGAGGGAATGTAAACTGAGGAAAGTCCTCGGATGCAAACAATATGAGACTGCTTTTTATGTTCCAGACTCTCTTTTTGTTTCTCTATCCTTGCCGAATGCAGTTTTTTTTTTTTTTTTTTTTTTTTTTATTGAAAAAAAAAGATGGAGGTAAAAATTGCACTTATAGACCATCCCGATAAGTCCACTGGTGAGATCATAAGACTCTTAACTGCGCCTATTATTCCTCTAAAAAACGAATCTAGTTAGACTAGTATAGCGGTCAATTACCGAATCCCACTATAAATTACAAGATTCAAACCTCTAATCTCAAAGTGAAAAATTCAGCCATATCCCATTAGACCGGTGGTGTAGTTTGACTTAAGGTACTGGTGGATTGCATGAGAATTTGTTTATAACCTTTGCTTTTTAGTGGGCTTGAAATGTGAAGCCCATTGTCTCCACTATGTCACCATGCGGCCGGCCGGAGTTTTAGGTTGGTCGTCATCTACTCTTTCAAAAGTTAAATCTTTTTGTAGGGTAATGTTTGAATTTTGTTTTGTTGGTCTTCTTGATCTCTTACAATTACAATGTGACATTGAGTAGAATTTGTTGAAAATTTACATGTATCATCTTGTGTGTGTTTATAAATTAACAAAAAAAAGAAAAAGAAGTGAAGTGGAATTAATGTTACTTATTGAACTATTTTGATTAGTTATAAGTCTTAAAAATTCTTTCACAACGTGGGATTAAACAAGTAGTTTTAATGGATTTTTTGTTTTCATTTTCAATGATCATCCATTAATGTCCACAATAAGGTTGAGTCTAAGTGTTGTATAGTGGCAAACCCTCTCCCATTCTTTTTGGTGTAGAATGATATAATAATTCGCTACTTACCAAATTTTTAACACCAAATCAATGTGAATTGTTGAATTTATATATTCTATTGAATTTCAGTATACATATAATGAACAAGATTGCGAACAACTTTTGGTGCACAAAATTTTACCGAGAAAAAAGTTCTATTCTTGGATTTGTACCATTCATAAAAGGTTTTGCTTATTAAGAAATTGAGCTTGACAAAATTTTCCTAAAAGTTTCTTGACGAGGTAGTTTTTTATAAAACGGTTGAGTTTGATCTAATTTTCAATGCCACAAAATATTTCCAAGTAAAAATCATATTCATGTGATCCAAAAAACAAAAAAACAATTTAAAGGAAAGAAAAATGGTTAGCATTGTAATTGCACTGAAGCCAGGGATAGCATTGATTTATGATAGGTTTCACTAGTTCGAAAAATATTGGTCTAATGAAGAAAAAGACATAAAAGGAAAATTATTGACAAGTAAAAATGAGGCATTTAAACTAAACTTTTCCGTGGGATCACTCTAGTGATTTATAATGATTGATGCATATGAGACGGAAAGATTGCATGTACCCATAAGATTAGTCCGGTGCTCTAAGAGACTTAAATTTCTCCGAAAATATATAGAAAAAAGGAGAACGACCAAATACTATTGGCTTCCCCCCCTCCCTCTTCTATCTCTCCTCTTTCTCGTACTTTTACACAATTTTGGGGTGAATGTTGGTGAATAATGAGAGGATGGCCCAGTGTAGCCAATTGATGGTATGTATTAGATACACAGTGGTCAAAACAAGCCATTTCTAAGCATATAGATGGGCTTTCTGCATGCCTTATCCTCAAAATCTCTCTATGGACAAGAAAAGAAACGCCTTTTTTGAGTTCTGAGAAGCAGTGAGAGAACAGACACACAACTCTACACCAAAAGAATGTGGCAAAACACAAAAGCTTTTCACTCCACAGCTCAATTTCTCCCTCCCCAAACACCAACACTACCTCCTACACAGCAACATACCACATCCATTTCTTCATCCCCTCCTATCCTCAAACAATGCTGCAAATTCTCACGTCGAGAGCTTGCAATTCGCGCAAACTCATCCCTGCTTTTACTCTTAGCCTCTCAGACCCAAGAACCTTCTGGCCTGTCAAAGGCGCGGGCCGAAGAGAATCCAGAAAACCCCAACAAAAGTGAGGGACGAGAAGAGATTTCAAGCAATTCTGATGGGTGCACAGACAAAGTTCCAACAAAGAAAGCATTTCTTGATGTATCAGTAAATGGAGAGCCTGTAGGTAGAATTATCATTGGGCTATATGGTGACACAGCCGCGGGCGGTGCTGCTAGATTTACTAATCTTGTCACTGGGGCTTCTGGTATTAGTTACAGAAGAAAAGAGTTCATTAAGATCATGCCAAACTATGTGCAGCATGGTGGGGTGAGATCATATGGGGTTGATGCTGAACTTGCTAAAAAAACTGGAAGCAATTTGGGAGCTGACAAACTCATGGAGGAATGGGAGAAACAGAATGGGAATTGTCCGGGGACTAAAAATGTGGCCAGAAGTGTTGGAATTGTTGTGAGAGATCCATCAAAACCGCCTCCGAAATTGAAGCTTGTTGCTAAAAAAGGTAAGCTGGAGATTGATGAAGAGGAAGTGGGAATGGAGCCTAATGGGACAGAGTTTGTGATTGCCATCAGAGATTCAGCCGAGTTGGATGCCTCAGCTTTGGTGGTTGGGAGAGTCTTGGAAGGGATGGATGTTGTGGAGAGGATTGGACAGGTGAAGACTGTGCAGGAGAACACTAGTTCTCCTTATTTCAGGTTTGCCTTTTGGAGCTTTTGTGTTTGTTCTTCGATGGCTAAACACTCGTTGCCCCAAGTTGATTTGGTTGCTTCATCATGTCTCCTGTTAAAAACAGTTGAATTAGGGACAACACTAGCGTCATCTTAAACTAGTTTGTATCATGTCATGTTCTCTAATAAAAAAATCAATCCACACACGACACATTTTATGTTAAAATCTCATACCTTAAACGACTCATTCATGATGGGATATGACCACCCGTGTAACCCATTTGATATGTAGACCCATTCACACGGGTGTCGTGTCAACACTATTTTATAGAGCACTAATACTATAACTAGCATTGATAATTGAACCGAACTACTAAGACTTGACTTGTTGAACAATTTTTTAGGCTCGTATAAAAAAATAAACTCGTAAAACTCGACTCGATTATCAACTCTAGCTATAACCCCTATTGAACTCTCAAGTCATAGAGCATCACAATGTATGCCTTCATTTTGCTGTGTTGTCTGGCATTTCCTGAATCGCAATTTCTCAATTGTGTCTTTGTGTTTGGCAAACAGGGTGGCCAAATTAATCGGAGATAAGAGGGCTGTCGTTGCAGAAAGAGGCTTCAACCGCCCTTACTCAAAAGTCATCGTCACGAATTGCGGGCTGTTAGAATGAGAGGAAGCACTGCAGGCAGCCTTCATTTTTGTTGTTTCGTTTTCTTTGCAGAGAACAAAATTTGGGAGAAAGTTAATCCTTCCGATGTTTCTGGACAAAATCTTATTGCATTTCACAATTCAAAACCTGGAGATTAGCAAAATTGAGCAACATTAAAAGATGTCATTCAAACAAAAAACCTCGGTACAACATTGTTGTTTCTGTCTATAATCCGATCTGGGATATGTACAGTAAGCAATCTCTTTCACCCATTTTGAAGAGGTTAACTCTCGAAATTGATATAAAGAACTAAGGGAACAAATGTATTTCAATGGTGAGTGGATACAACACTATGCCTATTCCACCAGGAAAAAAAAGCTGAGGGAGGAAAGGAAGAGAAAAGATGCATCAGTTTTATGGGCTTCAAATGGGAATGCGCACATGAATATTTAAGCATATACACATATTGAGAACCCATTTTGGGTGCTTCAGTGTGATCCATGAGCACGCTTCGTTCTTTCTGCAGGAGACATGAAAAGCTTTTTGATAGAAGCAATAGGATCATCCACCTGCACACCAGCAAATAAACGAGGAAATGGATCATTTTCTTTAGAAGGAAATGGTTAGCTTTTCATGGCGGTAGATTAGATCCTTGAGCGGATCATTAAGAACCAATATCGTGGGAAGCATAGTCATCTGCATTTTCCACTATAAATTACCAGTCCATGGGAGTGACTATGCTGCCCTCCAAGGTCACTGTCACACAATGCGCCGAAAGAGAATAGCGTCACTCATAGAAACATTACTGCATTTCCAATAGTTAAAACAATGTCCACTGGCACTTACCAAACCAAGAACTAAAGAAAAGATGAAAGCAACTTAATGGATCAATAAGAGAGAACTATCTTTCAACCTCATTTTTCAATTATATTATTTTTGAAACGGAAAAGGACATGGAAGTCAATATAATAGTTTTTCCCTTCTCATATGTATTGCATGAGCCAGGAATTGTGACGTTCTAAAATGAATGCATGTAAGGCTAATTTGGGAAAATGGATAAAAATTCAATGGTTGATAAGCCCCAGGCAGTGAATTGACCACTCAAAAAACTAGCCCAATTAAGTAATACGAGCCATCAAATTTTTAGTTGTATACACTTTGTATATACTAGTGGCTATAATCATTATCTTAAGCTGTCTAAAGTTAATTTTCATTCACAGTTTGAAGCTAACCAAAGCTAAATTTGATCCACTGAATAAATTAATAACATCTAGACCAAATTATTTCTCCAAACTAAACAAACATAATGAATAGGAATTTCATTTTAGTGATATTTTTGGGGAGGAAGGTACATGGTCAAGACAGAACACCCTTCAGATTTTCTCAACTTTTGAAACATATTTTGGATTCTTTGGTTTTTGTTTTGCGGAGTTTCCTTCTTTTTGTGTTTTTTTTTGGGGTAGGGAGGATGGCTCCCTCCCTCAACCCCTCGTTGTGCTCATGAGTGCCAATCCCCTCCCAAGTCCACATTATTGCCATCTCTTGATCCTCATGTTAGTACAAAAGGTCCAAAATAAGTTTCACTAACTTTAAGAGTAGATAAGAAGATATTGAAGTACCTCAATCAAGGATGATGATGGAGCATCTGTGGACAAAGACCGAGAACACTCCTTATGACGGTATAAGGCAGAGAGTGTTTGTTGCCATCCTGGAGCGGAGTTGCCACTTGATACAATCCAGGGACAAAAATGTCTATGCTGCCTGATTGGATCAAACTCCATTGATTTTGCTAATGGTGGTTGCTGTAGATCCTTCCCTGAAAGGATAAAGGGAGCAAGTTATTCAACCTTTGATCAAGCCTGAAGGCAAACTCGGGCTGCAAAAATCACCATGCACCAATTTGATTTGAAGAAAAAAAAAAAGGAGAGGAAAAAATTGAGGAGATACCCAGAAGATATTTTGCAATACTTTCCCTTAGATCTTGTTATGCATACCACTGATCTAAGAAACAAGATCTAAAGGTATAATGAAATAACTGGTAGGTTGTCTTTTGGGGAATCCCTCAAAAAAACGATAGTTAGTTATTGAAGCTTCAGTGTTTCTGGCCCATCGAGTAAAACATGAGCATACCTTTTTACATGATCCAAGGCCATTCAGTCCAAACTAACCTCCACTCTCCTTACCCCCCCCCAAAAAAAAAAAACACAAATAATAATAATAAGCAAAAAGAATCAACTAGAAGTCCCACAGCTGTACATGTTACCAGCAAATCTAGGGTACAAATCATTACCAAGAATCTAAAACTTCATACATTTAACTTTCAACAACTACTTCAAAGTTTCTATAGATTTTTTCAAAGAAACAGTGTGGAAAAAATGTAACGACAATTTTGCGGTTTAACTACAACTATGACTCTTGAAGCAAGATAGAGCACAATAGAGGAACATGATTAATGTAGCTGACCCCAAATAGTAGAGACAAGATTTTGCAGACTTGAATCGTGTTGAGAGAGTGGATAAAAAATCAATATATTTTTCCTCTAGAGAAACTAATTGACACAACAAAAACAGTACGGTAACCACATTACTCAATTGTTGACAACCAACAACGGCACAGAAAACCACAACAACTTGACAAGTAATCCAAGTAACAGGCCCCGTACTATATATTCTACCTCAGGCCATAGAGTCACAAGTGAGATTTCAATATTTCATTTTAGGCAAGGTCAAAGCCAGCTAATTCAAGGCTAAAACAGTGAAAGCCAGATCAAATTAGAACATAAGTTCGGAACCGAGGGAGTGTATTACATTGTCATAAACCCAATGTTACCTAAGGAGCAAATCGAATCAAGGCCTTAAGGGTGATCCGGGCACAGGTGAGAAGTGAGGCAAACACTATAAATTGACATTCACTAACCTTTCAGACAAGGCATAAAAATTGCAAGTCAAAACTAAGTATCGAAAGAGCTGGACTAACAGGAGTCTTTTCCGCACAGGAAGGCAGCAGCTGGTGTGAGATCCTGGTGTCCCACATCGGTTAGGGAGCGGAAAGTTGCTGGGCTTATTAGTAAGCCCCTCGTCTTACATGGCATAAGGCCTTTTCCCAGGGATATTGCGAGGAACAAAGCCGTGAGGGCCAGTGGACCCAAAGTAGACAATATTATGCCATGTGGAGGGTGGGGTGTTACAAGTTGGTATCAGAGCCGACTCTCGCCTGAATCAAGTGTGGGCTATTGCCGTGCTCGCATGTATGTGGGCGGGTAGGCAACTGACGAGCTACTGCACAGGGACGTGCAGCCCTAAGGGGGGAGATCCTGGTGTTCCACATCGGTTAGGGAGGGCAAAGTTGTTGGGCTTATTAGTAAGTCCCTCGCCTTACATGGCATAAGGTCTTTTTCCAGGGATACTGGGAGGAAAAAAGCCGGTTTCTCAGTTCTTTATAACATTCAAAGCTATTGGCTATGCCACATCATACTGCGGCCTAAGAGTGTTATGAGGAAAATTGAGCAGCTTATAAGGGTATTTCAAAGGACAGGCTGTGAGTTGAGAAAAGGGAGGGACAAAAAGTAGCTTGGGATGAAATTACTAGACAAAACGAGGAAGGGGGGTTGGGACTTAAGAAACTTCATGATTGGAATAGAGCTTTGATGCTCAGTTATAGTCGGTACATATTTACTAACAAAGCTAATCTCTGGGCAGAATGGGTTAGATTAATTTATCTTAAGAGGAGGAGCTTTTAAGAGGTTAGACCTCCCCAAATTTGCTTTTGGAATTGGAGGAAACTCCTCAAGCTAAGGATCCTTGCAATGTGTCTTATCAAATATATTATAGGGGATGGAGAATCTACAAATATGTGGCATGAAAACTGGCATCCTCAAGGATCTCCTATTCTCAGATGGTGCAGAACTATTGAGGAATCCAACCTACCTACTAATGCTAAGGTTGAAGAAATCATCAATGAATCTTCATGGAGCTGGCCTTCCACACAATCTGCTGAAATCGTGGAGATTCAAAGTTCAATTCCATCTTACCTACCAAATTATCAGGCAGCTGATAGAATGAAATGGTTACCAGCAGCAAATGGATTATACTCATCTCAAACAGCTTGGAGCAACTTATATAGACAAGAACAGAAAGTCCCATGGTATAATCTCGTTTGGCTCCCCTAACATATACCCAGAATGAGTTTTAAACTATGGTTTGTAGTGAAAGAGAGGCTCAGCACCTAGGACCATATGAAAAGATAATTGCAGCAACTAGTGATTTCTTGTGTATTCTCCAGACCNATCAAGTGTGGGCTATTGCCGTGCTCGCATGTATGTGGGCGGGTAGGCAACTGACGAGCTACTGCACAGGGACGTGCAGCCCTAAGGGGGGAGATCCTGGTGTTCCACATCGGTTAGGGAGGGCAAAGTTGTTGGGCTTATTAGTAAGTCCCTCGCCTTACATGGCATAAGGTCTTTTTCCAGGGATACTGGGAGGAAAAAAGCCGGTTTCTCAGTTCTTTATAACATTCAAAGCTATTGGCTATGCCACATCATACTGCGGCCTAAGAGTGTTATGAGGAAAATTGAGCAGCTTATAAGGGTATTTCAAAGGACAGGCTGTGAGTTGAGAAAAGGGAGGGACAAAAAGTAGCTTGGGATGAAATTACTAGACAAAACGAGGAAGGGGGGTTGGGACTTAAGAAACTTCATGATTGGAATAGAGCTTTGATGCTCAGTTATAGTCGGTACATATTTACTAACAAAGCTAATCTCTGGGCAGAATGGGTTAGATTAATTTATCTTAAGAGGAGGAGCTTTTAAGAGGTTAGACCTCCCCAAATTTGCTTTTGGAATTGGAGGAAACTCCTCAAGCTAAGGATCCTTGCAATGTGTCTTATCAAATATATTATAGGGGATGGAGAATCTACAAATATGTGGCATGAAAACTGGCATCCTCAAGGATCTCCTATTCTCAGATGGTGCAGAACTATTGAGGAATCCAACCTACCTACTAATGCTAAGGTTGAAGAAATCATCAATGAATCTTCATGGAGCTGGCCTTCCACACAATCTGCTGAAATCGTGGAGATTCAAAGTTCAATTCCATCTTACCTACCAAATTATCAGGCAGCTGATAGAATGAAATGGTTACCAGCAGCAAATGGATTATACTCATCTCAAACAGCTTGGAGCAACTTATATAGACAAGAACAGAAAGTCCCATGGTATAATCTCGTTTGGCTCCCCTAACATATACCCAGAATGAGTTTTAAACTATGGTTTGTAGTGAAAGAGAGGCTCAGCACCTAGGACCATATGAAAAGATAATTGCAGCAACTAGTGATTTCTTGTGTATTCTCCAGACCTACAGAAGAGAACCACACATTTTTTATTTGACTGTGAGTATACATGTGATATCTAGTCCACGATTCTACAGAAATGTGGTGAAACCTGGATCGCTACACCTTGGAACCACTTTATCCAACTTGCAACAGTACAGTGGAAGGACGGAAATGTAAGAGTATTCAGGAATGCATTTAGAGATCCTACAACCATGTTGAAAGAGATTATTAATATTGTTCAAAGCAAACTAATCAGTTGAGTGCAAGATCCTTCAGCAATGGCAAATCTCTCCTCCTGGGCTTAGCATAGGAGAGATATTTTGCTTTGATATTGGGTGCCTAGCTAATCAACATTGATACTCGTAGATGTGAGGTTAATCAGAAATGCCCCTCATTTAACTGCACTTCCTACTGATTGACTTCCTATGTTTTTTTTTTTTATTGTTTTTGCTCTAGAATTATGCTTCAAACTTGTAAATCTACCACTTGGGTAATTAATTTTGCACACAGTATCAATACATTAAACTTACCCCCCCCAAAAAAAGATCCACAAAGCATAAACAACCCAATTCCATCAAACAAATACAAGGTAACATCTTAAGTTCTTAACATTTGAAAACATAAAAGACAAACTGTCAAAGCAACTAAACATTAAATCCACGCTTCACACGTCCGAAGGAGTTAAAAATCATCCTCCTCACCAAGCAAATCATCTTCATCACGATTAGATTTATTTCCCTCCACATCTTTCACCTGTGGCTCATCTATGCCTGCCTCTTCCTAGTAAGTGTAGTTGATGATACTGAAACCCTTGGTGCTGCCCTAGGGGTTATCGTCGATCTAGGTAACAAGCTACTTTCTCCATGTCCAGAAGCTCAAGCAACCTCAACCCCACATCAAAGATTAGAGTTTTTCCAACATCAATTAAATAACACCTCCCAAAGTAGTATATGAATTTTGTGAGCCTCTTCAATCATCACCATTTGGTTTTGAGTTGGACATCTTAACATCGTCTTAGAGCTAATGCTTGGGGAGGGTTTGGGCAAGACTTGATTTTTTTGATTTGATAATTTCCACCTGTTTGTGCCATATGTTTACTTGTTATATCTATGAATTTTTCCTCTAATTCTTCTGCTTCTCTCTCCATGTATGAACGGATGATGCACAAGTGTGAAGAGTGTGAAAGCTTGTCTCATATCGATATATAATGCCTCACAAACTTGAATATGAACCTTGCGGGCCTCACTCATGGTTAATTGATTTTGAGTTAGATGCTTGACCAAAAGAACTATCATCAAACACAAGCTCATAATCTTCATCTGATTCTACATCCATCCCCAAAAAGACCACTCATTGTTTTTATCAACATTCTTCAAAGAGATGGGATCCGTTTTGTCACACGAAGCACAGCGATGTCACAAAGCTAGGGCAAACGTATTTATAACTACCCTAAAATATATCAAGATATGGGGCGGGGGGACACAAGCACCTCTGCGCCCGAGGTACACCTCAACGATATTCCCTCCCCC